AAGTATGTCGATGGTTGTTTCATGAAAATACTGAGGGTGACAATGTCCACGGCAGTCGTGATTAATCGAGATCCTATTGGAAGGGAAAAGCCGAATAGCATGAGGTGATGTAGATGTGGTGCTTGAAATGATTCAGGAAACATCAAGGCCGCACTGTTGTCCGCCGTCGAAGCCCACATAATCAGGTACTCCAGTACTGGATATTCCTCGTCGACGGCCATAATGACCTTCTGCATGTTCGGAACAGGCAGCTGAAAGCGAACACGGCAGACGCGATCACGCTCCCCGAGTGCAAGGATTATCCCCTCCTCTTCCGCAGTGATGTCCCGATGGTCGCCAAGGTAATCGATGACGATTGGAAAGGGAGGTGAGTGAGCTAACATGTCCGCAACTGGCGTGCCATGTGTACAGACGAGGCAAAGACCCAGGTAAGATGCTGACCCAGTATGAGCTTTCGCCACTCCGGCAAACGTGTGCGAGTTTGTACCACCATTGTTCACGATCCCATCCCTTCCCTCCTAAAATACGGTCATCTCCATCTTCATCTCCATCGAATATGGGTGGTCGATAGAGATAGAATAAGTAAATAAGGAATCATCGTCGAGGATATGGATCGACGCATAGTGTAGACTGTTGGACCCATGTTTACTCAAGGTGAATAGCACAAGAGAAGGAAGCATACCTCTGTCGTTGAAGCTCTGAACTTATTTCACCCTGGGTGATTCTTCTGGTGGATTGAAGGGAAGAGGTGGAAGGTACGAGATAAGACATGCCGGGAGAAGTACCAGGGTGAGTGAGAGGTCAGGAGACACGCGATCACGAGACTCAAGGCTCGAGCGCTCAGGGGGTACTGTCACGTGCAATCTCCAAACATTCACCAGTTCTTCGGCCGCACACCAAAACTGAAGGCACACGTTGTTCGTCTCCAATAGCGACGCATATCACATTTGGACAGACATTTGACGGTACGCTCGAGTTGGAAAACTCGTGCAGTCAGTCAGATTGGCAACTTTGTCCCTGGCGCTCGTTTGTAGCTCGTTTGTGTGGCGGAACCTCTACGTCCAGAGTCGATCTGGGCTACTGCGTTGGTAACTTTACATCAGTAAGGGATCCCTGCATATCTGTATTGTACGGAATTCACCCCACGTATTGCGCCCGCCTTCCGTCATCTGCTTACTGTATCACCAACCAATGCGACCATTATTCTCTTCGCTCATCATTTGGCTCTTGAAATACCAGTCACAGTATTCTCTTTATGTCCGTATGATATCGTTGTGTAGATAGAAGCCAATAGATTTCGAACTATGTCGTCGATGATATACGCAAGCAGTGAAACTGGCCCACGGATTACTCAGTACTCAATTTTCAGATGAGTCGTAGTAACTGAGATTTGCACCGACTTTGAGGAGCATAACATCCATGATGGGTTCACCAAGGAGTTCACTCGCCGACGCGTCTTTTGAAAGCGAAGTCCGAGAGAGGGTGACGAGTCTCCACAAAGTAGGGTTCGTGCACGGCGATATTCGAAGTGCCAACATTATTGTGAAGAAAGACGATTCGCCAGGAATTATGCTAATTGACTTTGAGTTTGCATGAGTACGTAGAGAAGTACGATATCCAATTGGCATGAGTTGCGTAGATTGGGCTTACGATTACTAACGTCACCATTGCCGAAAACGGAATGTTTGCCAAACGTTCCAAAATAACATTTATTTATAAGTTTGTTATGTATAATTATGAACATGTCGAAGTAAATATATAAAATTTAATATTCTATGTAATTCTACAGGGGGTGGGAAAGGTACGACGCGGAGGCAAACAGAGCCGCGTGCGCTAAAGCGGGGTCCCACGCTCCAAGGGGGGGCACATTTCCGGGCCCATGTGAGATCCCTGGGGCCGGAGGGAGCGCGCGCGATGCGGAGGGGCCCGGAATAAACCCGAAATTCCCGGGGAAGGGCGTGAATGAGCCCGGGGTGCACGCAGCGGGGGCAGGGGGGAACACAGCGGGGGAGGGGGGAACGCGGTGGGGAAGGGGAGTGAATTGGGGGGCGCGTTGGGGGCGGGCACCGGGGAGCGCGCGCGGGCACGGGCATTCGCTGCGGCGGACAAAGCATCCGGTTTAGCGCAGGTACCCGATCGATCGCCGTCCCGCTGTATTTGGAACGCGGATGATTCTGATTGGGCGGCACATCTTCCGAATCTGGTAAGGCGCGCGGACCCTGAGTGCGATCGAATACTTAACCGAGCCAGGACAGCTGGAGCCGATTCGTCGGCCAAGTCGTAAATCTTATCATCACGTTGATGAGATAACAACTTGATGTCTTGCATGAGCTTTTGTAAGCTCTCCTGTGGGCTCGAAGTGTGAAAAAAACGCGTTCCGGTGGGTCTAATAATCCCCCCAAATTCTGGGTCACCAGGGTTAAAATTTAATTTAAAAAAGAAATACAAACTACTAGAGAAGAAAACTGCCAGCGCAGTGAATTGAACCCAGGACCGGGAAGAGCCGGGAACAAACGCGCAAGCGCATTATACCGCTGAGCTACCCGAGCTTGCAAAGATACCCGCTTAAACAACTTATTAGTAGTTAGTCTAAAACTAGTTAACTACAAAAAGGTACGGCGGATACGTTAGTTGTCATGATAAGTCAAATTTGAAAGTCGCTTATTTCTGACACTAAGAACTTTCCATTTATAGTAAGTCACTTTTAGTAATCGTAAGCCCAATAACAAACACTATTGGCATGTAGAACATAACGGAGCGTTTTCGTGACAGCATGTCACGTGGAGCAACAACAGCAAGCGTCTCGAACATCCAGTCCCCCAGGATACCCCGCCATCACCCCGCCATCATTTTCTTGCCACTCTGTGTCATCACTTATGGGCCAGTTTGAAAAACTATTGGCTGGGAATGGGAAGGAATTTACCAAAGAAGGCCAATGTACGTACATCGTTTGTACAAATGACTCGCGCTGATTGTTGAATGGTGCGATGCAGCCCAGGTGACAATCGACATGCTCCCCGACCTCGCACTCCTGGAAATATTTGATTTCTATTTGTACGGACAATATAGAATGTGGCGCACGCTGGTGCACGTGTCCCGAAGATGGCGAAACGTTGTTTTAGGGTCACCACGTCGCCTAAAACTAGAACTTTTCTGCAACGCCAGAACACCGGTGGAGGAGATGTTGGAGGTTTGGCCGCCCCTGCCTATCTTTGTATGCAACGATGGTGACCACAGATGGGGCATTCATAACATCATTGCTGCACTCGAGCACAACGATCGCATATGTCGATTAAATCTCTGTGATCTTCCGGGTTCGCAATTGGAAACAGTTTTGGAAACAATGCAGCAGCCATTCCCGGAACTGACACTTCTCATACTTCGGCTTCATCCTCTTCAATTAGGACGTGAACAGGCGCCAGTCATTCCGGCTTCGTTCTTGGGTGGATCTGCACCACATCTGCAAACACTCTGGTTCGATTTCATTCCGCTTCCCGGATTACCAAAATTTCTTTTGTCGGCTACTCACCTTGTCCATCTTATACTTACGAATATTCCTCATTTCGGGTACTTTTCACCCGAGGAGATGGCCGCTTGCCTATCCGTGTTGACCAAGCTCAAGTCCCTCATAATTTCTTCGAATCCTTCCAAAGTCTCCCCGAGACAAACCGACATCCATCTCCACAGACACGCGCTCTCCTCCCAGTTCTCACTTGGTTTTCTTTTGCAGGGGTCAAAGAATATTTGGAGGACCTCGTGGCCCAGATCGATGCCCCTCTACTCGACCGGGTGACGATAAGCTTGCGAGGATTTGACTCCGACATTCCACAACTCACCAAGTTCTTTGGTCGCACACCAAAGCTCAAGGCACACGATGAAGCATATGGTGTTCTTGATGATTTGAGACGTTCCCGTTACATTACCTTTAACGGAACGCTCGAGTTGGCAAACCCATAGAGTCAGTCAGATCGGCAGCTTGTCTCTGGCGGTGGTTTGCGGCTCGTCCTTCCCTCGGGCTCTCGTTCGCGCGATGGGACACCTCTACGTCCAAAGTTGGTATTTGCTACTACGTTGCGGCGTTGCCAAGACGACATAGAAACTTTATTTCCATTTATCGCTCTGAAGGATCCACATAACTATACTATATCCTCGCAATCCATGCCACGTATCGTGCCCGCCCTGACAGGCCTGACCACCTGCCATTCTTCTTGACTCCCTCACACTGAATGTTTGGCCAGTCACAGTATTCTCTTACAGTAATGTCCCATGATCGGACTCGTTCGTATGATACCGTTGTGTGGAATAGAAGCCGATAGGTTTTGAACTATGCTCTGTGACTTGGTGACATTGTTGTACCTTGCATTCCAGCCGCAGCTTAGGGCCATGCTTCAAGCTTCAACGGCGGTGCGTACTGATTGGGATCCGGTTACAGTGACCTTGACTCTCGGCGACGACCGTGATGAAGGCAAAGTCGCATCGTACAGACCCAATCAAGGACCCAATATTTGACGCGGTTTCTGGTATGGGAAATGGGATACCGTATCAGATCATCATATAAGAACCGCCGCGCATCTTCATCACAAAAAAGGTCAGATCATCATAAGGGATTTGGTAGAAAATAATTTACTACAAGGCTTGTAGAATATTATTAGGCCTTGTAATTGAGAATTAAATTATCACTTTACATTTTAAGGATTCAAATTCTTGCAGAAGTTTAAAATGGCCACCAAGCCTTGGATACCCTTTTATTCCCATACAAGGGTAAGGGGTTAGCCTTTAATTCCATTTAATGGGTAGGGGTTAACCCTTAATCCCATTTTATAAGTGGGGGTTAACCTTTAATGCCATTTTATGGGTGAGGGTAAACCTTTAATTCCATTTAATGGGAGGAGTTACTCAGGGGTATTCTAAAACACCAGCCAAGTTGAATAAAGTTTGTAATTATTTACACTTATCTGTCAGGTTAACATAAATATAATAACCAGCTTTAAACCTGTGCGGGTGATATGGCTTGGTAGGTAAAGTGCTGGACTTGTTTACTCTGGAGTCTAGAGGTCTTGGGTTCAATCCCTGGTATAGCCAACTTGTTACTTTGGCAATGGTAAAATGAACTTATCATTAGTTTCTCAATAATAGTAAAATAATAGTAATAATAATAATAATAATAATTGGCAAGTAGTATATTAAATAGTTAAGGAAAAATAGAGAAATTAAAGAATGACTAGAATGGATGCTATTTACTTTTTACATCATTTGTTTGTATAAGGCTTATAAGCCAATTTATGGGCATTAAATTTAGTAAAATGCATTATAGGCCATTAAATGGTAGTTAGCCTTGCCTACCCTTTAAAGGCTTTAAAGGCTTGCTCACCCTTTTGTAGCCTTGGATTCACCTTTTAAGCCCTTACAATTAAAAAGAGGACAATTTAAAGTCCAAATAAGTTTAACAAGTCATTTTAATACTTTTGATGACTTGTGGGTATTATAAGCAATATTAAGGCCTTATCAGGTTTGGGGATTTTTTGTGATGTTTCTGCGCCCACTTTTCTTCACAGATTTTGGTCGTCGGGCCATGTGCCCAAAGCCCAAACTCCCACGAAAACGTCGAGACCTTGGCCTTCATGACATGCGGAGGAAGGTGAGATCTGGAGATGTTAGGAATCATACCCTTTACGCCGCTCGGCTGGCGCTTCTACAGATCAAATGGGGCAGTCCACTGGCAGCGTGGCCGCCCTGATTAACTAACGACACATTCACATCATTCATTGATGCCCGCCAGAACGCAGGACGCCCCGTAGCCCCGATCCATATGGTCATCCGTGCGGACGTAGAGAAGTTCTGGGAAACGGGCTACACGCAACAACCAACGGAAAAAGCGGAGTTCCGAGACCCCACAGGATAAAGACAGCTTCATCAACTTGAAAAAGAGTAAGTTGCCACGCGCAGTAACTCCCTAACCGTCTTGAATAGATTCCAACCACCAACAATCGCATTCAGGCAAAAAGTAAAGAGGGTTAATGAATGACATTATTCTCTGCATCAGAAACCATCCGTCCGTCACACCCAACGGCCTCTGCACAGCACGAAAAACATGTGCTGGCCATGACGACCGCCCACGTTACGCGCACTCCGGGCAGACCCGCACTTTTCGCCCGGATGCCAGTCGCGACGCTAGGACACACAGCCCCTCCTTGTCGAAGCGATCCCGCAGGCATCAGGACCTGCGGCATGCCGTACGCGCTCGGGACGTTCACGCCACCCTGGCCATCCGCCATGACCTTGGTGCAGGTGAGGACATCCACAAGCAGCTCGTTCGGAGGGAAGATTGCGTCCACTTTCCAATTTATGCCCTGCGGGCTCTCGTACCGATGTTTGTGAAGAGCGCGAGGATCGGCGGTTTGGAGATGACCATGGAGTGGTCCTCTATTGCCAGAAACTTCATCTGCGTTGGGGAATAAAGTGAAAAAGAGCCTGGGGTCAACAGGTTCTGGGCGTACCGGGTCGTCAGAAAGGCTGACGAATATTCGATTGCCTCCTTCCGTGCATATTCATTAATCTAATGTGCTGGACGAGAGACTTGTCTTGCTGATAGGCCGTGAACCAGAGACTAAAATGACGTGGTTCAACTAGAGTTGCGTGAAATTAAAGAAGAATACCGCTCACGCTTCACGATTGTATGGATCCGTCCCTCCTTGGTACCCCTGCTCCTGACCTAAAAATTAGTCAGGGACAGCCTTTAAAAGAGGAAGCGGTGGTGGTCTACCATAGTAGACGATGGAATGCCATCGTGAACAAATGGAAAGGTCATAGCATTACGTATAAGCTTCAAGGAACTACCGTCAGGACAATAACTTGTGGAATAGTAAGAACAACCGACCGCGGAGTCCTTGGTCAGGGAAGCCAAACGCGGTTGATCATGATTCTCGACGAATGACCCGGTACGGAATAGACCGTTCTTGTACTTCTGTTGCGCGTGCGTCAAGGCAGTGGCAACTGACGAGAACGTCCCTCGAGTATCCAGGAATGTATTTATCAGCTGGAAGTATGACGGGTAGTCAAGAATGGCATCCAGGACCTCTGAAGCATAATCGAATATCATTAAAGATGCATGGCCGCACTCAAGCAGCGAGTCACCCACCTGTATACTGGGCGGCATAGTCGGTATCGTTGATGAGCACTTCGCCAAGCGTGAACACGCCGGCAGCCTTAGAAAAATCCGGCCAAAAGTCCTTGCGAATATGCTTTACTGTATCGATGCGCAACCCATCTACGCCATAATCCTGCACGAGTTTGTGAACCCAATCCAACAACTTCCCAACGACGGTAGGATCTTCAGTGTTAAGATCAGGTAGTGGCAGCTTAGAGTCTCCGAGCCAGCACTGCTCTACAGCTGTCTGGTTGCTGGCATCAGGGGACTCGGCAACAAAGCAACGTTTGTGGAAGGCAGATGCGTCGGCGAACGGGGGAGAGAAGTCGGTGAAATTGACTTTAGGCTCAAGCGCAGCCAAGTGGTTGACAACGATGTCGAACATCAGGTACATCCCGCGTTTATGGAGGGCGTCACTCAGTGCGTGCAGATCATCGGCGGTTCCAAAATGGGGATTCAATGTGTCGAAGTCTTTCGTCCAGTACCTTACGCCACGATTATGAAACGACGCGTTGACACAGAGATGAACGGCGTACGCACCCATGAAATGCTTCGCCCTGGGAAGAATTACCCTCGATATTGGCAGAGACAGGCGAAATCCATACGGCATCGAATCCCATGCTTTGGATATAGTCGAGGTGATTCACGATTCCCTTCCATGTGCCACCGCAATACATGCGCGCACCCGCGTCGCAAGGCACCGCCGAGTCATTAGCGGTAGCAAACCGGTCTGTGATAAGCTAGGGTGTTCCATGAGACGCGCACAAGGTAGAATACGCCGGCGGGTTACCTGATAGATGGATCGAGTACTCCAGTCTGTAGCATTTGCCGAAAAAACAGGAGCGGCCAAGAGAAGCGTTCTCAAAAAGGTGGTGACTGGAGCCGAAAACATGGCGGGGGTATAAAATAGTCGAATTGGTGTGAGGCGCTAGCGTGTTGTGCGTGTTGGAGCCGGTAGCAATGTGGGGTGAGAGGAAGAAAACGCGTTGGGGGCGTCCCCTGGCCCCGAAGACATTATGGCTTCCAAACGGTAGTATAGCTATTCCCAATGAGGGAATTGGCATTCATATCGCGCGTTGGATGCTGAAAGTGATGATCGCCAAAATAAGTGTCTTAAAGCGCCTCATTCAAATGGCCCAGTAGGGGACGGAGGAGAGGACAGAGGCCGGTACGTGTATGTGTTCGGCGTCCAAGCGACGAAGGGAGGCCAGGATATCGAGATCCAATCGCCCGTGCAATGCTGGCATTGATGACATCCCCAAACAAGCGGGGCCACTCTCCGGGGCATAAGTACACGGTTTCTTGATTGTACAATGGATCATGCAAGAGATCATGTCGACGAAGTGATGCGCGCATCGTCAACGGCATCAAAAAACGACTGGGATACTTGCGGCAAATGCCGGGCCGGCTCACTTGATTTCCTCGACCTCACGCAACACAACGATGGCGTCGATAAGTGAAGAGGAACAAGAACGTATCGAAACTGTTTCCAAGTTTCTTCTACAGTCTCCCCCTGGGGAGATAAACGACGTCCTGAACGGTACCGTTGACTCCCTCTTTCACATCTCCTGGCCTGACGCACCTGCACCCGCGTACGTAGATGTTCGCGTGCTTATCGGGGATGATGAAAGTCTCGAAACTGGCATTCTTCCGGCGCTGACGCAGTACAATCTCGAGCAATTGACAGTCGCTGAGGTTCCGGGAGCCGGTCATAGCGTGGGTCACTAGTTCCCTGTCAAGGTTGTTCTTCACTGACTTTGGGCCCTGCGCAGTCTATCGTGAGTACAAGGGCCCGGATACCAGGGGAGGAAGATCGTTTCCTCGATCCGAGGTCAAAGACAAGCTTCCTATACAATCACTTGACTATGGTGCGCCCTCTATATTCCCACTATCTCCTTCTTCGTCCTCAGTTTCGATTGTTCCGTAGGAAATTTCAGATCCACAGACCCATGAACATAATGAGGCGTCCGAACCTTTCCGGTACTCCACTCGCTCTTCAACGCAAGAAATAGGTATAATAGTTTTTTTTCTCCCGCAGGTCTGCTCTGGAAACGTCCACCTTGCAATACCTTTCTTCACATTTCAACGACGGCACGGCGTCAGTTTTCGCGAATCCCTATCACGAAACGAACTTTATCATCCAGATCGTTGCAAATAAATACAATCCCGTAAACTTTTGGTGTGTATTGAGCCATGCATCCTTCCCAGGCCAGCTACTCAATATAATTATCTTTGTAGGTCTGGACGCTGGCGATCAGAATACACCGTCGACCTCGACGCGAGGAAAATCACGGGGCAGATCCTAGTGAACGTGCACTATTACGAGCAGGGAAATGTGCCATCCACTGATATACTCCGCCCATGATGCGTGGCTCACCGGACCAATCATCATCTCGCAGGTGCAGCTCGAGACAAAGCACCGGGCCTCGATCGTGCTCCCAACCTCGATTTCTGCGTCTTCTCCCGGTCCATCTGCGAAGAAGGTGCTCGCCTTGATCGCGGACCAGGAAGGTGCATATCAGGAGTCGCTGGGAGACACGTATCATGAAATGGGCGACAAGGCATTCAAGGGGCTGCGGCGGGCCCTGCCGCTGACTAGGCAGAAGCTCGACTGGGATAAGGTACGTCTCTTGGTCTCTCCCTCCGAAAGCAGCACGTGTCTCTGATCTGATCACTGTGTTAGGTCCTGGGGTATAAACTCAGTGCGGAGTTGTCTTCTAGTAAAGCTATCTTTGGTGGGTCGGGAGGATCTTCATGAGAAGGCCGAAAAAATATGTAACAGACTAGTGTGTATCCCGTATAAAACGAAACAGAAACAACCCAGGTGTCTACGAGCCCCCTTTCTTGGGTCTCGTTTTGTCAACGTGTGATAAATGTGGCCTTCCCTTATCGCTCCTCCGAGTCCACTGCGTATCATATATACCCTAAAGCCTAT